TCCAGTACAAACATCTAAGCATTTTTAATTAAACACATTAACTTCAGTAGCAAAATTATATAGGAGACTAACTCTTATTTTGTAAAAAAATGCATCAAAATTAAATGGGTTTTTGCTTAAAACATGAAAAAATTTATTTTAATGGTGTCAGAAAAATAAACTTGTTTTCCCATTAAATTAGGTTTATTTTTCTGAGACCATTGCAGATACTCACTTTAATATAATATAATATAATATAAAAATGACAAATATACAAAACATTTATTTTTTTTAATAAAGCTCAACAGTCGGGCTCAGGAAGCAAAATCGTCATTCAAAATCTCCTTCAAATAAATCTCAATTAAACTAAACCTTTCATTGCAGACCTAACCGTATATGACAATGATAGTCCTCCTGTAGCTCAAACAGCACGGCATTAGCAACACTGCATTGCTTTCAATTCTCAGTGAATGCATGAATCGAAAAAAATATATATAGCTTGAATGCAAGTGTACACAACTATGCATAAAAGTGTTTGCCAAATGCATGAATGTAAATGTAAATATAATGTGACAATACGTCATTTCAAAACAAATCCTGTTCCCCAGGTGAGGAACTTCACTACCCATAATCCCGAAGCCAAAGAAGTTGCGGTTACCATGGAAACAATAAATCCTGCAGTGGATTTATGGAGCCTAACTAGGTAATTATATACTGTGAGTCAATAGGGGACGCTGCAGCAATCGTGTACCTTTGTTGTTTAAATTGTATTACTTTTTTTTTGCTTGTAATGTTGTGATCATTCTGAAGTTTGGTTCATTGCTTCAAACTGGTTACTGAATTGAATTGAGTTCCCTATGGAGAAAATGAATGGGAAAACACTTCCAGCCGATCACTGTTGAGCCCGATTTCAGATGCATCAACCACGATCAGATTGTTAGCGTGTATGACGTGTGTTTTCATATCAAACGATAAGGACGTACTTGGGAATCGGGGAGAAGATGCTCAGTCCTGCACGGAATTTCTTGATGGTTCCTCCGGCTTTGAACCAGCTGTGTCGCTTCTCCTGCTGGGCTTTGAGGAACTCATTACTGAGGTGCTTCCACTGCTGCGACGTGAACGTACTGAGGATCCTAGAAACACCAAAACAAGCTTCAGCTTTATTTTGACAGTCTTTCATTACGGTTTCTGTTCAATCAATCAATCAAACAGAGAGACTCATAATAAAACTGCAGTGAACAAGAATCTTTCTGAAAATTATTGTTTCAGTTCTAGATGCTGATTGGCCAATCCAGTGTTCCAGTTGTGCTAAAATACACCAATGAAATGATTTTTTTAATACTTCTGCTCACCAAGGCTGCATTTATTTGATCAAAAATACTGTAA